CCACTTTCCATAACCAGCGCGCATCTACAGCGAAACAGAGGAGGAGAGGCGCTCTCCCCCTTCCTTAGGTTGTGATCTCCTGACTCGCCAATAAAGACGCTGGGAATTTCTGTGATGGATAATTCACTTTGGTGGTGGGGGGGTTAAATACCACCCTCTCCTGATCTCTTTTTAAATTTACATAGCTTTTCCTCCCTTGTTAGAAAAGCCGTATGTCTTAGTCAAGTTAGCAAAAAAGCAGATATGCAAAACCCAGAACTTTGAAAAGATAAATTCCCTATTTTCTTTGCAAACCATCATCATAAGAAGACAGATACAGATTAAAGACATCAACTCCTAGGGTGGACTGACTGGCCCTGGCAGGGTCAGGAGCAGTAAAGTCAAGCAGCGATGGGGTTAAGGAAGCCCTCCCTGAAGGGGTGGAGGAGAGGTCAACAGGGAAGAGAGAGGAAGGGAAGAGGTGAAGACAACGCTGGCCTACGTACAACTGCTACCTTATCATTTCTGGGTGTGCGCCCAATTTCAGCAAAATCTTAAGATGATGATTTTTCTGAACTTCAGACAAATCACTTCTGGTTTGCTGTGAGACACAAATCAAATGTAAGGCATACTCTGATATCTCCCCACAAAATTCATCAACTCCTGAGAAAAGCAATCGTGGAACCAAGAGTCCAATAATTTCCAATGCCAAGTAGTTGTCTCTGGGGAACCTCTATTTGTTTGCCCAGCTCAGAGGACATTATTTCATAGACAAGAATAAAAACAGTCAACAGTGAGGGCACACGGAGTCTGTGGATGACACGCACAAGGCTGTAAGTGGGCGTGGGAGTCTGCTGTCTAATGACTTCAAGCAACTAGCATCACGTCTGGGTAGCCACGAAGCTCTGCCACGCAACAGCGGCTCAGGGGAGCCCCTGGGAGCATCTTCACATTCAGGATAAACTAAGCCACGCCTCTCACGGGGTGGGAGAGAAGGACTGTTGCCCCCTGGCCTGCCAGAGCTCAGACTGAGTTACAGCTCAGGGTCCCAGCACTCCCAGCTACCATCTTGAATGTGGGCATGTGCCAGCTTTTCATCTGAAATCCGTAGAGGACACAGATAGCAATGTCTGCTATCTCTTACAAGAGACTTTCTTTTGTGGCAGGGAACTGGAGGGGAAAAAAAGTGCTTGTCAAGGACTTGCTCCATCATTTAAAAATCGAAGAGAAACCTCCTTTGTTGGGAAAAAGAATGACTTTGGAACATGTGAAATACCTTGACCTATGATGTAATGTCCTCTAAGGAGACTGAGCCAGCAATTTTTCACTGGCAATGAAGTCGCCCATCACCTCACTGAGTGTACAGGTCGTAACAGCTCCAGACTGACTGACTGCAATAAATAAGACCCACAAGTCATAAACACCAGCGGAAACCCAAGAAATGCAACTCTGCTGTATTGTTTTCTACCTGTCAGAGGCCACAGCTGTATTTTACACACTGCCTGTATCAGAATCTCAGCTGCCATAGGTTTTCCTCTGTAAGTTTGCTTCCCGGTGGCTGGGATCACGGCATTTCTGTAGGACAGAGCTACTGGGGTCCTAGGTGATCCGTATACATTTGGTCTTCATTTTTCAGGATTAAGGCAAATGTGAATTTTGGAACAGAGGGTCGCCGCTCTAGATTAAAACCAGGCAGTCCAGGCAAGGCCTCGTTGTTTAAGGCTCTGAGCAGCGTGTCAATGACCTTGGCAGCAGCTTTGGTTTTATTCGATTTATTCAGATGCTACCATAATCAATACTGTGCAGCTGGCATGCAGAAATGATAGATTAAAAAAGAAAGAAACAAAAAGGAAAGCAAAGCACATGATGAGAACTAAATGTGCAAATGCTAAGGACCTTTTTTTTTTAATGCTATAAAGAGAAAATGGTGAGATTAATTCTGTGAAATTCCTTGGGGAAGGGTTTTTAATCTTTATAAAGAAGGAGGAAGATGGATCAGAAACCAAACATGGCTGCCTAAGAGACACTCAGTGACACACAGAAAGAAATGAGATTTCCAGAGGGAAAGGATTTTTACAAATACATAATCATTAAAATAGGAAATAAAATATGTATTCATAACTATGTCAAGTATCACTATAAAGTTCAAAGGGTGTAAGAAATTCCCATCATCAAAAATTTTACGGTCAATCTTGGGGTGAGAGAAAAATTAAATAGGGTTATGGAACTCGTGTCGGTGTGCCCCTCCCAGGGGTGGTATTAGGAGGCGGGGCCTTCGGGGGGGAACCAGGATTAGGTGAGGTCGTGAGAGTGGAAGCCTCAGGAATGCGGTGAGTGTCCTCCTAAGAGCCACCAGAGAGCCTGCTTCCTCCCTCTGCTCTCCATCACCTGAGGATACAGGGGGATGTCAGCAAGTCTGCGAACCAGAAGCAGACTCCTACCGGACCCTAGCCAGGCTGACACCCTGATCTTGGACTGCTGGCCTCCAAAACTGTGGGAAACAAATTCCTGTGGTTCACAAGCCCCTCCATCAAAGTACTGTTGTGACAGCAGCCGGAACTAAATAAGATAGATAAGCAGGCAGATGGAGGTGCTGACGTAGATCCCTAGATACACATCCACACTACTGCTACCAGATAATGACACATGGTAAGTACTCACTAATAATGGGAGGGATTCGTTTCCTAGCATCAGGGATTGGCTATAGACAGAGAAGGGTGTTATTTACAATCCTCCTGTAGATCAGAGCAAGAGAGAGGGCTTCCTGGAAGTGAAAACTAAATTAAGCCCTGAAGACAAGTCAGGATTATCTTGAGCAAAAAGGAAGGGAGACACTTCAGGCAGAGGGAGTCCAAGTCTGCAGGAGGCACACAGGGGCTGCTTGAGGACCACACACACACACTATCCCAGGAAGAGAAAGGCAGGGGAGTGGGGAGCACTAACTCTTCCACGCACACTCCTCAGAGAAGCTGTTTACAGCAGCACATGCCTAGAGCCATGGGGGGAGGGACGGACAGGAATCTGTATCAGGGTTTGCCAAACACCACTTGGGAATACGTTAGAAATGCACATTTTCAGGCTCCCCCTCAACCCTAAGAGTCGCTCTGGGGTGGGCCCCAGCACTGTGGGCTTCACAAGCCCTCCAGGGATGCTCAAGTCTCAGAAGAGTTCCCCGATGTAATGAGAAATCTAGACTGAAAGGTCTGTAAGTCAATCCTTTCAAAGATACACAAGAAACATCCTACAGACTGAAGAGAAACAGAGATGAATTTTCTCCAATGCACAGAAAAAAAAAATCAAGCTCTTCCAGTAGGAGAAAGCTTACAGATCTATGACCAGAATCTCCTTTCCAGACTTGCTTCAACGACTTATTTCGCCTCCTCTCCCTTTCTGGCCTCTCAAGGTTGGAGTGCTTTCTGTGACATTTTTAAATCTGTACGAATAGGAAGCTGGGGGAATTCACTCCTCGTTGGATTTGTGACCCAGAATATTAAGTTCTTCCTGTTTCAGCCACGGACGTGCTGTGAACTGAGCCGTGGCTGTGTCGTGGCTCAGAATGCCACTTCTCCACGGAACCACAATGGAAGAAGAGTGACCGACTCCACCATTCTCCACTGACTGTGATAGGTCTTACTGACAGATGTGATGCGAGATCTGGTTTGCGCTTAAACACACACACACTCACAATACAAACACACATACACACATAACACGAATCGGACCCCTAGAGCACCCAGGATTACAGATTCTCGTTCCTCTGTAACCACTGTCTTTGTTACTTGAAGCACCAAAGTGGAATTGTGTCCTTATTTTGAAAGAAAGAATTGCAGCCGTGACAGGCATGCGTGAGAACGTGGAACTCAAATCCACCACGCACAGCCTTCAGCACTTAAATATACATACGTGACCATCTCGAAGGGACAAAAAAAAATCTCATCTGGGGAACGGGTATCCATATTTCAAGTTTCACTTTGATTTTCCCTTAGATTTTCAAAATCTCCAGGTCACCCCCAAATTTTAGCATACCAAATTTCTCCCAGCCTCTTTTAATACTTAATAAGTTCATAATGATTTCATGTGAATCCAGCAGTAACTATAAAAAGCCAAGGAAATATGAGGAACACTCGTCAACTCCATTTAAAGTCCCAAGAATGCCCAGCGAGAGTCAAATGACATCATTATCTGTGACTTATTTTAAGTAACTTGGATTTTTTTTAATTTTTTTTAACTTTAAAGACAGGACAGCCAAATAATCTCAGGCTGAATTACAGACGTATTTTTAGATGTAACTTGATTGACTAATCAAGTAATGTTATGGAATTATTAGTGGAGTTCTATTTTATTTTATTTTTCTCCTTCTCTGAGCATTTGTTTGAAATCTGACGTCCCACACCACCACTAATCTGCATTCACCCCACAGCCTCAGTAAGCACAGAAAGACGAACCCTCACGGGGTCAAACCAGGTCCACGGCAGTTTGTCTGTATTGATGTTATTTGTCCTAATGTACCTCAGCTGATCTGCACACGCCAGGCACTAAACCAAACCGAGAAGATACAATCAGGTATTTCACCCATCAGTTGTCAGTTACTCAGGGTGCTAATGGAGTAGACACAGCAGGATGCTAGTATAAAGCTCTCAAAAGTTCATATAAATGAAGCATCCTTCTATAGGAAATGTCAGAAGTCTGTTGTATCAATCATGATATATGTGTTCACATCTCTCTAGAAGTTTGCATACCTAGTGAGAAAGCATCCTCTGTGCAACCCCCAATGGGCACGCAGTGAACTTAAAGCAGATTTGAAACAGCACTCACCACCCCTTCCATCCTGGGAACACCAAGACCCTATTCAAGAAAGGCCTTGTTTCATGGGCCCTTCTCCCTTGGGCAGCCCCACTGATGAGAGAACAAAAGTCCTTAGATCTAATGGCCTCAGTACCCGCCAGCCAAGCACACTGTAAAATGAAGGTCCCAGCCCTCCTCCGTCCCTCAGCACCAAACAGAAGAGCTAAGCTACTTACACAGTGGACACCCAGTCCCCAAAGCTGCCCCCATCTGCCAGAAGGTGATTTCTGTCTGGTCCGGGGGGCCCGTGGGCAGTGGCCATCGTGGGAGACGGGGAGGAAAGTGAGTCCAGGCTGCTGGGAGGGGTGTCCTCCTTGAGAAGACTGGGGTTGTCACCTAGGGAGGAGAAAAAGGCATCAACTTTCACACAACCACAGACAAGTATGCAGCATCGCTTGATTGGTCAATCAAATTATATTCAAAACTACATTTACAGTTCAGTCTAAAAGTATGTTGGTGTCCTGTCTTTAAGGATTCTGTTGTTGACTTATTTTTAACCAAAGGTGCTTAAAATAAATCATAGACAATACACAGTGAGGAGTGTTTTCCCCACAAGAAGAAAATAGTCCAAATCAGACAAGATGGAAGATGAAATGCTTTCATGGTGGCCCCAACGGCTCCCTGCTCTATAAGGAGCACAGACATAAGTCAGTGATAACCTTGAGAGCCCCTCAGAGCAGTGCACCAGCCCTGCAGGGTCCAGCCTCTCGCTTTCTAGTCTTTAAGCCACTGCTGGTCTCCACCCGGCACATGACAAATCAAACAACTTACAAGGGACCTGGTCTTCTGAGCCGGTGTCTCAGATGATGATTTAACATCCCAATTTGTTAAATCCTAGACACAGAGGAACTTCTATGTCCCTGTGAATATTAGGGAGGAGGTTCTACAAGAACCTACAGTGACTGCAGGGGATGACTTTAAACCAAAACTTAAAAGCATTTCTTAAATGGGTTGCATGAGTTATTCACTCAAAGAGGATCATTTTATAAAATATGTTGAGTATCATTCATGCACACTATGGGTTTGGGCAGAAGATGGAGAAGAGCTTCCAAGAGCAGCCATTTCCCTCAACTGCTCTTCTGGCTTTCATGGTTCTCCTGGCTGCCACCAGCACACCTGAAGTCCCCATCGAAGCTTGGAGCCTTCAGCCAAAGTGATGGTCCCCGTTACATAGTGACTGTTCTGGGGTGTCTTATGGAAGCAGCAACTTACTAAGACAGCGCCGCCTTGGCCTGGATTTTATAAATGACGGGTCCTAACTGTTGTTCAACAAACCACCATGGAACCAGATGACACACATGACCCAGCCCCACACAGCTTCTTGCTGATGAAACCTTCCTTCTTCCTCAGCCCTCTGTCCCAGAAACATGCCTGCATGAGCGCCAAAAACAGCAAGGCACCTGCTCTCCGAAGACCGTATTAGATGGACTTCAAGTCTACTGATCACGGAGCCCAAGAGAAACGCTGGGCTCTGAGTGAGCTCCACCCTGAGATACGAACCTTGAAAACTGACTGTAGAAAATAATTCTTCCTTGACTCTGACCCAGCTTACAACTAAGGCTAAAAGAACCTTCCAAGTGAGATCTAGAAAAGCTGGATTCAGGCAGGTAGGAATGAGAGGTGGTGGTGATGGCTGAAGAAGGGATTCCTTACAGAAGCAGTTGTAGGGGGATGCATGACCCTGTGCAGAAGATTGTGGTAAAGGAGAGTCTTCAGAGCTTCCGTTTTCTATGCACGTGTCAGGGAGAGACATCTGACGGCACAAGAGGTGAGCACACCCTCTGTGGGCAGGTCTTGTTCCGGCCCACGTCTCTATAAGCCTTGCCCTGTCCCTGTTCACTGACACACAACCAGAGAACTGTATGTTCCCTCTTTCAGTCAAGTCCCTGTTTCTATAGCCCTCCACCCCAAAGGCATTTAGCTAACTGAAATAATCCAGCCCCAAACAGAATGGCTAATTCTCAGGCAAATGACCTGAAACCCACTGACAGACCACTACGATTTCTTGTTGATTTCTTTTCCTTCTGGGATACAGTCCACTTTGAAACAAAGGCAGCTTCTCCCTCAGGGCCTGGATAGCTCAATCCATCCAGTTCTCTTCTGCAAACGAGCCCAAGAACAAGGGCTTTCCCGGGCCCTGGCCTGTGCCCCTCGGTCATCTGGGCAATGACTCCCTTTGAAATTAAGATGGTCTCACATGTAACCCCGGGAAACTCCTGAATGTTCACCTACACAACAGCTGCTGATTCGGGGCTTGTCTGGAAGCTGCACAATACGGCTGGTTCCGAAGCAAAACAGGACAACCCCCACAGTGAGTCACAGGCCAGCATTCTCCTGGCTGTAGGAGGCTGGACGCCGGCCCTCTGCATCCTGGGCCTTGGGCCCTGGCTCTGGGGCCAGACATGACACGGGGAGAGCAGCTGATGAGAGTCTGGGCCCAGCTAGTCCCCGACTCACTCCACCAGGGAGAAAGCTGTCAGTGAGCAGCAGCTTTGGGGAAGTCGAGCCCAAGGGTCTAAGGTTCCTCTCAAAAGGTCCCTGAAATGTTTTCGCAACCAGATACGCGCACTCCCCAACACCACCCCCAATCCTGTCCCCAAGCAGACTGCCACAGCACGAACTCATTCAGCACATTCACTCACACGCTAGTAAGAGAATTTCTCTCTTCCTTTCTGCCAAAGAGTGGCAATCTGAAGCCTCAAGTGAAAAGAATACAGAGAGAAGGAACAGGTTTGCACAAACTCATCAGATGAAGAGATCCCTCAGCCTGCTTTCCTACACTCTGTGTCCCCAAATTCCTTCTCCTCTCATGGCTCAGGAATGAGCTTACCAACTAGAGAATCACTGAATTTGAAGAAACACTAATATCAGGCAACTAACAGTTAAGTATTCTAAAACTTCAGTTCATCAAAATCAAATGACTTCTTTTGAACTAGTCTGAAAATAGTCGAGCTTCAAAAAACAAGTTCTATGTTTGACAATTTAGGTAATAAAGATTGTTCAATCCTGTGAAACGAACTTGCATTTGAGAATTAACGTCGGGCACACTCATCGTTTGTCACTTTGGCTTCTTTGGAGCATTACACAACCGCTTTCCTTAGGTGCTACCCTTTCACAGGCACCCACAGCCAGACACGTCACTTGCGAGTAACAAGGCTGTTCCAGGTATGGGAACACAAATGGGGCTGAAGGACTTTCACTGTAAACAGACTCCAAGGTAAGACACTCACGAAATAGAAGCACCATCATCCAGAAAAGAAAATGGCTTTCTCGCCACATCCAGCTCCACTCCCACCTTCCCCACCAAGCGCTCGCCAACCACCTTTTCTGTGGGTTCTCTCTTTTCTCACAACTGCAAGCAGCAATCAAGTTTACATGGCAGTGTCTATGAATGGTTTCCTGACCTGGTTTTAGCTCTCCATCTCTGTGATGCATCTTTAAAGGGTGGAGACCGTATCTCATCTTGGTAATCTTTAGAGAACCCAACACAGTGCCAGGCAAATCAGGAGGCTTTCAGGAACTACTGACTGTGAACACACTGTCACAGAAAAGATCGAGAAATTGAAAAGCCAATGCCTCTAGGAATTAAGAAAAGGCAAGGGGAGGGGAGGTGAAATCTATAAACCTCAAACAACTGTCACAAAATCTGCAGTTTCTGAGGATCAAGCCTCATCTCTCTTTAATCAACCAGCCTTTACTGAGCTTCCACACACAAGGTACACAGTGGACGCCGAGTTACAAAGGTGAGGAATCGGTCTCCAAGCCGAAGGGGCAGAAGATAGCCAGGTAAAGACATCACAGCAGAAGGTGGCAGGGTGGAGCTTTCCATATCTCACTGAGGCATCTGGATTTGTGCTCTGGGGATTAGGAATTCATTGCAGGGATTAAACAGGAAAGTAATACTATCAAAAGAATCGATGCAAGAGATATTCAGGTATTACAGCCATCAGAACTCTGTGAGCAGAGGTGAAGGGTGAAAGAGGAACCTACCATGAGCCTCAAGTTCTTGGCTTAGGAAACTGGGTGAACGGTGAATTATCAATTGAAATAGGGAATGAAAAACGAGGAGCAAGATAAACAACACAGGGAACTATTCAATGGCTTGTAGCAATGAAAAACAATATGGAAAGGAGTATTACATATATATATTACATGTATAAAACCAAATCATTATGTTATATACCAGAAACTAACTTACTATTGACAGCATCGTAAATCAACTATACTGCAATTAGAAAAATGGGAAAAAAATAAAACAAGGAGCAAACGGGGTTGTAGACATGCTGGGGCTGAGCTGTCAGTAACAGATCCAGGGACGATGTCCAGAGGAGAGCTGCTTATTCGGCCCCAGGGCCCTGAGGCAGAGCTCTGGGACAGTTTTACTGATGTAAGAGGCACATGGTTAGAGCTGAAGTTGTGGGATTGGATGGACAGAGCAAAGGGGAAGACGGAGAAATGTAAGAAAGCCCCAGAGAAACCTCAGCATAAGGAGCAGGCTTCTCCCTACTGGTGGTCGTGGTTATTGCTGTTATTATGGTAAATAGAGAGAGGTGTTGTCTTGCAAGTATTTCGGATTCTCTCTTGTCATCCCAACAGACATAGATTCTCATTAAAAAAAAAATAGACAAAAAAAAGGTATTGAACAGAGTGTGCCTTTCGTGCCAGCTACTGGATTTCAGTATTTAGTCTGATTTCCTTATGACCCTAAGCACGAGCACAGGTGTTTCGTTTCCATGAGAGACTGACACGAGCTGGAACGACTGGCAGAGAGCTGAACAGGCAGACGGAACACACGTTTGATCATTGCACCATAGCTAACAATGCAGAGCATGTTTATCACCTACATTTTAACATGCTGATACCCGTTTACTCTAGTTAGCTGGGCGTTCTCGTTCTGATGGTGACAAGCGATGCGCTCCACTCGCCTTCTGCTCATTTCAGGGAAACGCAGCTGCTGCGGCACTGCTGGAAGGCCCGAGGCTGAGAGCTGCCCTCCCCCTGCGTTCATATCTCCTTTGTCCTCCCCGCAGATACACTTTCCAGTCGTTACAGAGTCAGAGAGAGCTCTCTTGCCTCCCTTACCTGTTGTTCTCTACTTAGCCTAGCGTGTTTGAATGTTTGAGGACAGTTTGGAAAATTTCTCAGAAATGGGCTGTCTCCACTAGTAAGGCTAGTCCACAATGCCCTCTCTCAAACACCCTGGCTTATGAATTAGCAGAAGAAAGAAAGGAAAGGAAAAGGGACCGAAAAGAGGAAAGAAAAAAGAAAAGAGAGAAAAGATCGAATGCATTAGTTGAACTTAATTCTAATAACTCCACAGTTAGGTATTGGGTCAA